CTATGGCGACGGCGCGACATTACTCTCGCCCTGAAGGGTAGAGTGTACAATGCAGCGGTACGTTCGACCTTACTGTACGGTTGCGAAACCTGGCCCCTAAGATCGGCGGACATGAAGAGGCTACTTACGTTCGACCATCGGTGCCTTCGCAGTTTGGCTCACATCTGGTGGGAACACCGCGTGAGTAACGAGCGTGTTCGACGCCTTGTTTACGGCCTAGGAAAAGGGAATGAACCGCTCAGCACCGTCATTTCACTCACCAGGCTCCGATGGCTGGGCCATGTGTTGCGCATGCCAGCCCACCGACTCCCTCGACGTGCGTTGTTTGCTCACCGGGGATGTGGGTGGAAGAAGAGGAGAGGTGGCCGAGCGATGACTTGGTCCAGAGGAATGAAGGCCCTCACTTCGGAGCTGGCCTCAGTTGGAGCTTCACGGCTCCCTGGTTGGGGTCCAAAAGACGGTGAACACGTTTGGCTGGATACACTTGCTGATATGGCAAGGAGCCGACCTCAGTGGCGTTCCTGCTGTGAGTTTCTTTGTCCCTCCCCATCCCTTTAGCCTCCCCCTCCATCTACGATCTTATTTCGTAGGGTAAAACGTAATTAAATTTTTGTTTTTGCCTAGTAGCCGGATAGTAGCTTACCGGAACGATGCGTATCCGTTGCTGGTAGCTCAGCTGGCATTCAACTGTCGTATTTATTTTTCCTTTATGTATTGTATGTATGTATGTATTTCCTTTATGTATTGCGGTACAATAGCGGAGGTGTTTTACCATCTCTAGCTGACATGTATAATGATGATGATGATGATGATGATGATGACTGCGGTTAATATTTTACCTGCGGGAACCCTGTAACACCCGAGGACATGGTTACAAACTCAGGGTCCCCAACATGAACAAAGTATCACATCAGATTTGTATCGAACGAAGAATCGTAAACCTGTGGAATACGCTACCCGAAGGATTATTAGAGGCCGATTCTGTGAAGTGTTTAAAAACGCGTATCGACGATTATTTCGGAAAACTGTGCTTTTGTGAAACGATGCACATACAATGCCAAAAGAAGACATTGTATGCCCGGAAATAATGACACCAATACAAATTCCTGACCGAACAAGGATACACGATTAACGGACCAGACACAACTGCTGATGATTCACAACTAAATGTTTTTGATTTTTCGTAATTCGATAGAGTTGTACAGAAACCTTTCTACTTGCTCTTAAATACAGTCACAGTCTCATCTACGAGAAACACCAGTGTCCCCAGTGTGTGCACAATTCCCATTTTGAAAACAGATAAGTACACGCCGAAGACCACGAGAAACGTTGTGAAACTCCAAGAAAGGTGCGTTTGCTCGAGCGCATATCAAAGAAGCTTGCACGACCCATGGTCAAAACAATCATTTGTCCTTAGTTTAGTTCAGAATGGTCGTACATTTGCACAAGACCTGATAGTGGCTAGTAAACCAGTCTACAAGACAGCCTATCTGACTAGGAATAACTTATAGCGAATAGCCGTCCTAGTTCTTCATACAACTAGGTTGCAAGTGTTGTTGCGAAGCCTCTGAGTGTAGCCATGTTGCAACTCTACCGTACACAGAGTTAATGACTTCCGCTTTAACAGATGGTGAATGAAAATCTATTTATGCTTCATTCGTTGCAGGCAGACGGTTTAAGTGAAGCTGCTGTTAGGTGAACGCTTTATTACACAGATGAGTAAAGAATGATCTATTTAGGTCTCTCGAAGTTTTCCTATTATCCATGCGCATGTTCTCATAAATGATGCTACTTTACTCAAGGATGTTGACAGGAATTGTATGGATTTTATGGCATATATTAGATATAGACTGCCTAGTCCACGCTATTCGATATTCAGTTTGTTCTGAAAGGTTGGGATGCGAAGAATATCGCATTATCAGACCACAAGTGGATAAGTTTACACAGATGCGTTTGATAATGAATTTAACTGACTCCTCACTGATTGGACATCCGTAGACAAGATGCGTGATTTGTTAGCTGAAAGCTACAGCAGCCATGTGTCACACCATTTCTCAAGTGAACTGATCTCTTCTTGAATGAGCCACATGGTACTCCGGAATTCATCCCGTCGAAAATTATAACCAAACTAAATGTCATCGGTACGTACAAATGATATGCCATGTCTGACGGACATACTATTATCGCTAATTTAAGTGGAAAAACAGAATAGCAAAGTACGTTTCCTTGAATGAAACCATTAGTGACGGAATCTAGACAATAGTAGTGATTATTTGGGAACGCCCATTTAGGTACGAGGTTACCCAAGCCAATAGTGGATCACTGACCTAAAAGCACTCGATTCCTTTTAGTAGCCGCTTGTAAGGCACCCGATGGAATACTTTTTGTATATCCAAGAATGGAATTATAGCTGCAAAGCCGGAGTGAAGGGATTCCGTGATGTGATCCAGATAGTGCAACTGATAGCTTGTGCATGAGATTTCATCAATGAAGCCGTGCTGGGATTTGTTACGCGGTCCAAGATGCTAGCGAAAGCCCATCGCTTTACTTGCAATTTTTCAAACAGTTTGCCAATTATGGAAGTGTGATGTATAGGTCGGTAATTAGTGACTTTACGATTGGGACCAACTTTATAGAGAAAATTAATAAATGATGTCCCCCATTGGTCCAAAAAATGGTCAGATTCCAACGACAAACGGAACGCACTCAGCAAAAGTATAGGTAAACAGGATTCACCAAATTTAATGATAGAGGAGGGGATAAGATCGGAATCCAGCTTACACGGTGGTTTGATGAAGTTCATAGCTTTCTGTAAGTTCAAAAGAGAAATCTAAATATCGCATAGGACACTTGTTGGGAGTTCAGGTACGGCGTCAGTTTCTAGACTCATAGAAGCATCAAATAAAGAATTAAAAGCTGCGCAGATGGCGTATGAGTCGCTAAGGTGGCTACATCCTCGTCGATAAGCCCCGTGATCGAAAAAGTGCTATCGTCAGTTCTACGACGTAGTAAGGTAACCGGTTCTTTTCTTCTACACGCCATCCGTAAGGCGTTCTCGTTAACTTTATTCATCCGCATCACTTGTGAACGTTTGATGCAGATGATGGATTCATGTAATTGTAATGTCAATGTTCGGTATGCGTAGACGCTGATTCTAAAGAAGTTACAATCGCTGAAATGCTTTATGGCACAGAGTACCGCGCCTTCTGCGCATAGCGCTGCCCTGCCACTGTGAGTGCTCAACCACGGGAACCTAAAGGATTTTCAGCCTGCATAACGGCATCCATTCCGCTCTAGTTACAATCACACTGAATCTACATAACCAGCGATCGCCCTAGACCGAACGCTTCGTGTGTAGGACCGATAATCAGTCCTCGACACAAGGAACCAGTAGCTGTCAGGATACCGATTACAAGAACGGCCATGGGAACCACCAATCAAAGTACATTCACGGATGGACAACCGAGCGGTAGATGTACGATGCGACCGGCTTAAATGCCTGACAACGCATCTTGACCCATACTGCCTCATAGTCGTTTGCTACGCTTCCTGAACACAAGTGAGGGGATTGCAATCACACCACTAATCATCGAGATGATTCGAGGTGAAGTTGTGACGTAGAAGTGGACGGAGATAAGCGGATTCAACAACCTCAGGACATGGCTGCTGAGGCAGAGCGATGATTCACGTGTGGTAGGCCTGGTACCCTTATCCAACGGCAAGCGAAGCAATTCGGGTAGAATTCGACCAACCTTTGTAACGTTAGAAGCATGCACTCTAAAAGTAGTCAAAAACAGCAGCTCTATTGCCATTGCTATTGCGTGTCAGTAGTTCAGGTGTATTAGTTCGCGTAGTACGCACTGCGGCGTAGCAACTCCCTTTGCCGTCCGGGGCAGTGGTAAAAAGTTCCGCCTGGCTGGGGGCAGTATAAGCGCACACAATCGGCTCACGGTAAAGTGCACATTAGTTTTCCATGAAGCTGTTGCTCCATTGGGATACTAAATGTGATGCATGTGACCACAATGGGACAAGTAAGGAAAGTGTTGGGAAGAACGTTCGCACAGGTGTGACACGTGTAGCGCAAACGTGTTATTGGTCATGCGGAGCAACATTAAAATCTTTAATCCTCAGCTTATCCGGATATTTTGCCCAATATAGTTGGCATGAAAAAATCGACGGTACTAAAAATGCCGCCAGGGGAGGGACCGACCCCTCCGCCCCCCCCCTATGCTACGCCTGTGTGCACACATCACACTGAGGAATTCAACAACAGGTCACACTAAAAGCATCTAAAATCGTTTCTGAGAAGGATAAACAAGAATAGGGGTAGCATCCGAGAATAACAAACGATAACAATCTATGGAAAGTAAAGCGTAAGAAACACCTGCGATGCTCTACTTCGGTCGGAACTTTGATTGCCGGCTAGAATGCACGAAAGAATAATGACCAACTAGGTGTAGGTTCCTTACAGAAAAGGACACACTATCTTAGGATCTCAAGGAAATAGAGAGAAGTGAAGTGAAAACGATCTACGCGTGGCCGGGAACAGATTCATTCGAAAGCGATCATTTCAGCAAACAAGCGACTGGAGGTGGGTATTCTAGGCGGATTAAAGCGACTTCCTTAAGAAAGTGTAATGATAACCTCAGTGTAAATGACCATAAGAAGAACCTAACATTTGACATTTCGAAGCTGTGGAAAATCGAAAAGCCACTTCGAAGAAGGCAGTTAACAATCGTATATCCCTGAAAACTTAATGTCCATGGTAAACAGTAAGTATATAAAAGGACAAGGAGAGATTCAGTTGCTGTGGTGTCCGCATAGTTAGGCAACTTGATTATAAACGTTTTGCCGCCTCGAATGGTGGCGAAATGTTTGCAATCAAGTTGCTCAGATCGGCGAACACCACAGCAACTGAACAAGTCTCCCGAGCTATCAGTATTCCAAGTAATTTCAAACAACGAGAGATGATAGAGCAAATATGTCGATAGTCAACATACCGCCGCCGCCATTTTCTTAACCAAATCCAAATCACCCTCGAGTGCAGCATCCAGTAGAAGAGCTAATGGGTGAAATCGAACAGAATTGGAGCGCGACTGGGACGACGAATTCAGTGTCGAGGGTTGATCATTGGTCAGTTCCGTTGCAGTGGTTGACGCCATCTCTGAAGTTGAATGTTTCACTGCTTTGCGTAGAATAGACTGTACACGCTGGGAAGTTCCATCTACTAGGGTGAAAGAAACCGGCACTGAAGCATTCACCGAGGAACGTAAACAACACCACTGCAGTACCGGAAGTCAGAGCATCATGTAGAGGTAAGAAACAGGGAAAGGCACGCGTGTGACAAACATTGTCCTAACTTAGTATCTAGGCTGGCCACATACAGGACAATGGGAGTGCGCACACGGGGAAAGCATTTAAATGAGGTTGAAAGTTTGAAATAGTGGATTAAATGGAAGCGTCGAGATCACGAGCTACATGAAGATCAGAAAGTTAGAGGACATATTGTGTAGATATAAACAGTTGTAAAGAAAATGATACGAATGGAATCAATCAATTTGATAACACGTAGCAGTTCTCCAAGTAGTGTCACTACATCAAAAGTTTCACTAAGACAATAATAAATGCTCCAAGAATTGAATCGCGCCCTCGGTAGACGGGAATCAGGCAACCGCATTCGGCAGAAAGACATATGCAAAGTGATTTCCACGAAGCATTTACCGCCCTGGCCATTGGGTGCTACTGCCTTGGTTCTTAAGCGCCAAGAAGACAACAAAAAACACGTGTAGCACAGCAAGCGCTAGTGTCTCACAGATAATGATTCCAGTTTGGAAAAAAGAACGAGCATAAGAAGTGTATGAGCTATTAGTTTCGCTTTCGGATCATGGCTTGTACTACAGTTAATACTAGTGACTTATGCAAACGCATGGATTTTTTTTGCCCGTTCACTAGAGAGCGTTGAATTTCACTCATTCCGCTGTGGTTGAAATTTCCTGTCTGGATCCGTTTCCAATCACTACGATTCCAACCAAATTTTGCTTGCATCCAGCACTGTGCAAATGCCGGTTTACTCCACTTGGATCACTGTCACACAAGTGAAAGGAAATGCGCACGCGGTGGCCGTGAAAACCCAAAAGACTAAGTCGGACTGAATGTCCCGATTTTGCTTGGACAACATCGGACCAAAGCGCATTCATTGGCTAAAACCTGAATATTCAGATGCGAGGAGCTCGCCTTCCCAATTTTTGCGGCCAAGAATGGAACTTTACAAGAACGGCAGAAATAGAAAAACTGAAAGTATACAAAGCAATAGAAAACGGATTGCAAACGGTTGGTAATGACGAGCGAAAAAGGAGAAGCAAAGCCAAAGTTCAGCTTGTCCAGTTTCAATTGTGCGGTAAAAGAGACAAGTAGTGAAGCATTCGTGACAAAGTAGTTACTGTGGTCGTTTGGAAAAAGGCCTCCTAGGTCTTCATCGGAAAAATATACCAGCCAAATGCGGTCTCTAGCCATGTAGAAAGACTAGATCAGCGAGTGTAGAACACATTAAGGTCATAACAGCCGTAGACTGATATCTCAGAAGCTGCCGAATTGGAACGCTATTAAACAGTGTGCAGTTAAGGAGAGGCTGCCGGAAACAAAAGGTACAATGCTATACAGGACAACAAAGAAGGAGGGAGAGTAGTTAGCACTGTTCGTTTCCACTGTGAATTGAAATAAGGTGCAGTAAAGTTAGAAGGTGATTACAACGTTGCCAAATTATGGCCACAATCAACTGCACTCTTGATTGCAAAAGAAATTTAAGTCTTGCCAAAGAACAAGCAAAAGTGAAAGGTACTACAGAGCCAGACAGTGGGCAAACTGTTGAAAGCTTTGGTAAAGGAAAGTGACAGGATTGCTAAGCGTGGCAACCAAATACAAGTAACCACAAAAGTCAAACACATGAGAAGCATACCTGAAGCATTGCTTAAGCAGCCATCTGTCCCGGGTCCATCATCGACAAAAACAACTGTGGCTGAAGCCAAAGCTGTGTTAGGATGCGAAGTGCATAAGCCTGTGATATTGGCGTGTTCCGATGGAGTGGTATCGTCTGACGCGCCAATTCCGCTATCCAAATCGCCGGACCCAGCCGCAGTGAGTTTAGAATCCGTTTTGTCTCGTACAACAGGTTCATCAAGTTGGCCAGGGCAAACGGATGACTCGTCAATACCCAAAAGCTCCAACGAAGATGATGACGACGATGAAGCGGGGTCGAAGGAGGCAGATTGGAGCGAGCTTGTGATGGGCTGACGCAGGGTGAGGTGAGCAAAGTTAGTTGGCGATACTCGCAATTCGCTGGGCTCATGACATGGCTGAACAACAACAACGTCGGTATCGACTTCTTCTGGTCTATGGGACTCCGAATTTGGTTCCGAAGTAGCCAACGATGACGTTTGCTTAGCGGACAAACGCTCCATATTGGCACGGTAGATTTCACTTGCAGTGCGTTTGTATTTCTCAACACTATCCCTGCATATTCGGCGCATGTAGGTGTCATTGATCACTGCACGTGAAGCATATCTCGGAGGGGTTTTAATGCGTGGAAGAGTGGAAGACACAATCCCAGAACTAGTAGGAGTAGTGTGGCTTGTAGCCACGCTAGAGATGCCTCCAAGGTTTGCGGCGTGCAGTAGCATTCGCAGAGAACGGCGGCTCGCTGGGGGACTGCTGGCTCGAGACAACAGCGAGCTGAAGTCGGATGACACAAATGGAGGTTTTGACGACATCGAAGCCGGATCATCGTTGCTTTTTGATACCGTGGGGTATTTGTTGTGAACAACGCTAAGAGAAGCGACAGAGAAGCAGAGATGTTGCAAGTGGACGAAAACGAAACTAGAATAGGAATTATGCGTTGAAGTAGAAAAATGCAAACGCCGACATCAGCAAGATATTTGGTCATCAAGCGGGAAAACGATGAAAGGACATTAGGATAAACTGCGCAGAGTAAAAGGTGGAAACACGAGTAGTGCGTCTACCCTAGGTCGTGTTTTCAGAAAACGCAGGAAATCGGCGCCAATAAGGGTATAACGAGTGACAAGTTGCACTGACAAGCGGCACCTAATCGCAGTGTTGAGAACGCGGAACGTAGGGTGGGCACATGTTTGATAGCGGCAGCCAGAGTGGTGGCAATTATGGCAGACGAGAAAGAATGCGGTACAGTTTATGTGTGATGTCGAGTCACGCTATTTGAGATCAGCGTTTGCAGTCAATCTGCTCATGTCAACCTCTCAAAAACAGGAAAAGGTGGATGACAAGAGTGATGCTGAAATGATGTGACCCAGGCTCATTCCCCATGTCCAAAAGCAGGAGCGAAGTGATCGCACTGTATTAAATCATAGTGCAATGACCACTACAGGCTAGCAAGACAGGGAAACGAGCAGCGACGGAAGATAAGGGGACCACGTAAACAAAACATAATAACGTATTTGCGTTCTTTAACATCTCAATACGCAACGATAGGGTAGGCGCGTTTAAATTCAAAGAATTGATATTAAAGCACATGATATAAAAGCACATGGAAAACTACAGAGCAAGATACGGTCGCATAAACATGAAGCATTGCTGTCCCGGAGCCTTAAGGATCACAAACCTGTCTTGTAATCCGAGGGCGCGGGTTCGAGCCTACAGTATGATATCCGCAGTATCATTAGCCCGCGTGCGACTAGTGGTGGTTGCGCGGTAGCGAAGCGTCGGTATTGAGAACCGGCCAACTGTCGACGCCTTATGTCAGAATGAAGGAGCCATTCTGAAGTACGCGTTGCGTGAATAGTATGTGACTCACAACCTCAATGAATACCGCGATAAAGTCTAGTGTGGACTTGGGTCAGTTCAGATGCGGCCCTGAGTCGACTCGTTTACTTCAAACCCTAGTCAAAATGGATATCGTGTATAGCAGTCCATTCACATAACGTGCACTACAAAATGACTCCTGCAATGAGTTACTGGCCGTTGGGACAAGCGTTGTTTATCGTGACTCGGTGGTTAAAAAGAGGTAGAACTTTCATGTTCGAGTCACAGTCTTGCTACCTCTACCTGTCGAGTACAAATGCATACGAAACCGGGTGCAGTGTTGCGAACAAGCAATGCCCAAATCCATGAATAATTTCAGTTCTAAATGAATGTGGTGCATAATAAACGTGCTATCCAAATGAGTGCTGAAGAGTATAGGGAACAGGATGTGCTATTTCCTATGTAAAATGCAAGTTAGCCGAGACGAGTACATATGAGCAAACGATATCCTACTGATGCCTAGGCCAGCTCGGTTTGGTCCAGTTCGTCAACAATAATCGAAGCATTGAGGTGCGCGGGATTAGCCTGCCAATTAAAGGGAGCAGAAAAAGTAAACAGGATCTCAAAGGAATCAGAAAAAAGAAGCCACCAAATAGTGCAACAAGAAAGATGCGGGAGCATCAATACATTCGGTATTGGGACATGTCTGATGAGTTCTCTACTTCCGCGCTCATCACCATCAGCCTCGGTGATCTAGAGAATCGCTCACACAATCTGAGCCACAGGCAGATATGCGGTTAGTGGAATTCAGAATGAAAACGTCGGCAAAAGTACGTTGGGCTGGTTGTATCGGGTGTCACAAGATCTGTTTCACACAGTGCGAGCTCAGAAAAGATAGGCTATAAAGGAGGCTGATATCGATGTGTGCTTGATCGTCAGTCAATGTACTATTAAAAAGCAAAGATTCGGAATGTGAACGAAGTCACAAAATCTGGGCCTATGAGACGTCAACCTCACAAGACACAGAAGCGTGAAATCGGGAAAATAGGCTACCTGCGAAAACAGAACCAGACACAACGCGTATCATAAATGCAAGCAGCAAAGCAAGCTTAACAAGTGATATGAGGTAAACAACTGCTATTCGTTTGATAGAAATATTTTCAACAGAGTAGCTCCCATGATGAGCATGAAACACCGCGTACCGAACAGTTCGGATAGAAGTATTGAGTAATGAAATGAGAGTGAAAAAAGCAGAAGCAATGGGAAAAGGGTCACGTGTAAGGCGCCCAAAGACTGATAAGTTGGGTCCAGGGAAGAGGAGAGGTGTCACAAGGTTCGACCTGCTCCTGCGACGTATGCGACAATACCGATCAAAATGGTTTACTAATAAACATCGAACAGACAATAGTCAATGTACTGTCTGTCGACCACAGGTGACCGAACTTAACTATTTCGTACGCAATGTGGAGGCATGTGCACATGCATACGAAATCGTTATCTACCAAAATAGCATTGGTCCAGAAAAATTTCAATTCACGTTGTGTGCAAACACGTACAAAGGTCTATGTTAAGAACAATTCGCTACTTTTCTACACCTAATCAGCATTCTTATTTTCAAAGCAGCGTCGCAGAGAGAAAAGGCACCAGCTGAAAGGGATTTTATCGCCTACCTTAATAACATTATCTATTTTTAAATGAACATGTTCATTACATACGATTACTAAACTGCATTCTAGTTCTTTGTGTACGTTGTTGATTTGAAGAAGAGTCTTTGGTGAATTTTAAGTTAAGTACACAAACGGGGTAAAAATGTGGATATCTGCGCATCGCAGTAATGTGTAGTATATCGAAGTGTTTAGTGAGTTTGGGTACCATTTTTCTGAATAATGTTGCCATGTATGATTTCAGTTAACAACATTTCAGCCACGTTATGTTATTTGGTAAGAGTTAAAATTACGAATGTTAAGAAATCAACATTTGAGTATATTTCACGTAATACATGAAAAGGTTTGACGGCGGATGAGTTGTTTGAATAAATCCGATTTGGTGCTGTCCTGTTCCAATGATTCTGGGTATGAGTTTTATTTTACTAGACCTGATCCGTTTCATAATGGGTGATGATAAAAATATAATGGATGAAGGTGAAGAAGAAAATTCTGAACAATCTAACAGTTGGTTAGCCAAAGTGAACGCACAGCTACCTTGAAGCCAAAGAAAACCGCCATCAAACGGCGACATCCCCCAGATGGATTTCATCCAGGCAACCCAAACTGGCAGGAAAACTTCAGTTTAGGCGATGGCTTCATTTCACCATTAGAATATTGCCACAATACTTTGGATCAGACATTTTTGACAAGTTCACAGAACAGACACATATTTATCACATGACTAGAACTGGGAAGAGTTTTAGCACAACGGTTACTGAAGTGCAAAAGTTTGGGGCATCTCAAATGCGATGGTTAATGCTGGCGTGTAAACGAGCTGAATTCAAACGTACAGAGAGGTGCCGGCCTTTATGTGGTCGTCTTATGTGTAATCAGGTATGGGTTAAGAATTGTCTTCTGGAATAAGTGATCCAACGAAAAAGTGTTATCACTATTGGAGTTACAAAAATGTATTCAACTATAATCAATAATCCGAAATGCGAGATTAATAGGACCTCAATGTGCCGCGTACAAGATGTGCAGGTCATTATATTCAGAGGAGAGAAATCAACAATCCCAACAAGATAGAATGGGGCCGGTCACAAACTCTGCCTGGTTGCACAAAGTGTAATTTAACCGCCGAAGAATTGAAGTCTCAGAAAACTGGATGGTTAACCATTTTGAATAATTCGTCAAGTCAAGAATGTGTTCTTATGCACCCACGAGGGATGAATTTTCAGCCTTGACACACATGCTATCGACATAACAAATAAACGAAAAGCGACAAGATAGCAAAAAAAGCACACTAAGAAACATAATCTTATTGACAAATTTGTCGGTCAAACGGAAATCTGGATAGATATTGAATCAGCGACAAACAATAAGCTCTCGTGCGGGTATATATTTCTCTGTACCTTTGTTTGGTCGACGAGGTACCTATACGGCTTGAGAGGGTGACTAATATCAGTGAGTAATATGGAAGCAAATAGAGTGCACTCATTTACGTGCGTGGACACAATTGTTTGAGCTAAAATCGGATTTGAAACGCCACTGTAGTGAGACAATTGCTTCAGTGACCTGTCAAAGCGCTCGAAATAGTTACACAATAGGCCTGAAAAAAACACAGAAGAGCAATAAGTTCAGTGTAGTAGATTGTACGACGTGATGAACCTGAAAATCGAATTGTACGCTACGCAGGATGATCGCAACCGAGCGGCGTAAAACGACAATCGCCTGAGTTTGGTGTATATTTGACTCGGGTGGAGTAACCACAACAAATCGTGGCTCAGTGCAACCCCAAGATACTTTGTTGACGTGCAGAAGCTCAAACTGTCACCTTCAATCTGAAGTTTCGGACATTTCGTTACAAGTTCCTGATAACAAACTGATTGATGAGATGAAAACAGAAGTTCACTACACTTGGATGCTTTCAGGATTCGGCAGCGAAAGTTCGACCAGTGCACTAATTCGTCCGAGGTCGGATGATTCACACCGATGATAATGTCATCTGTATGTTTTAGCAAAATAGTCACTTGTAGGACAGGTATAAAGCGAATTAAATTAGAGAAAAAGAATGGAAACAAAATACCTTCTTAAAAGACACCGGAAGTTGTGGTAAGGGACGAGGAGCTTTTTCCGCCAAACTTGTTGACCTGGGTTCGATTGGCGAAATAATCCTTTAACAAGAGGATTAGGTGAGATTGAATACCGTAAATGCGTAGATCTCGAAATAGCAACTTACGAGTAACTGTGCCGAAAGCGCTGCTGTAGTCCAGGAAGTAAGCACGTATACATTTATCCTTACTGTCTAGAGAAGACAATACTGAATGCATTAGACAAGCCATTGCTCCCTTTGTGTGGACCTCGAACTGCTACTGATATGTGTCTTCCAAACGAGACAGGGGCCAGCATACGTTCAGAAAGTATTTTCTCAAAAATCATCAAAGTCACTGAGGTGCATGCAATAAGCAGATATGTAACCCGCATTTCCTTCGGTACTGGCGTTGCGCTAGCAATCCTCCAACGACCTGCAATTTTCCCCTGCTTTAAGCACATTCTATACAAACTCGGTAAGAGTTGGACTAAGATATCCGCACACTGCTCAGGGATGACAGGAGACAATCTGTCAAGTCCACAGGCTTTGCTCGAGTGAAACATCGACAGTAGGCAGTGAGTCTACAGACCGCTTAAACGGTGCAGATGATGAGGCAGAGAGTGAGCTAGCGCTGGTGCAGCAGAATTTATGATTTAATTCTTCTACATCCACGTCAGAATTCGGGTCATGATGGGTGACTCCGCTGAGTTGTTCCATCATCCGCCAGCGAGATGAGTTCCCGCTGCAGAAAAGCTGGAGAGACGATGTACAATGCGTTGGAGGCATACATAAACACACAAAAAACGAATAAAGACCAACCCAAGAGATGTTAGGCACAAATTGCCAAAGAGTGGAGGAAAATATAAAAGAACCATTAAAGAGAAAAAATGCTAGAGGATGCATATGAGAAAGATGGAAAGCAACCCTTGGGTGTAATAGCACACATATGAATAGGTAAAGGCCGATAAAAGCAGTGCACAAAGATAGTTACCTCTGATTAAACTCTACAAGAGCAGGCTTCCTTGCGTTGAATGTCATATGTGCATTCGAAACTGGACGATCAGAATTCTTGAGCTCCTCTGATGTGGTCATTGCTCTTTTCATCTGCGAAGCGGCGTTGTGATTCAGCGCTAATGCGATCTGCTTATCCAAACGATCCGCTTCTAATAAGCCATCGCGCCAGTGTTTTTTATCCTGCAAAATAAAGATGTGATCAACTACGTAGGAATCCGTAAGCAGATACCAAAGAGAACAGGGGACAGCGAGTGCCACACATAGGTTCAGAAACTCAACTCGACAGCTGTGGAAAACGAAATTCGAAAACGAATGCATGTCACCGAATCCAACGGCCACCAACGCGGGTGCGACGGTGTTGATGGATGAGATCAATCGACATGTGCGACGACCAGGCGATAAAGTCCTCCTTTTGGCAAGTCCAAGAGATTACCAATCCAAGCAAATATATACAGTGAACAGTGAAGTTTAGCACTAACTTCACGAGTGAGTACATTGTGAATGTTAGCAAAAGACAGGCAACATGTGATTGGGCAGTGCCGGAAAAGGAGTCGTTGTGTAAAAGTAAACGTAGTTAAAAACGATAATAAAAAACGAAGACATTGAGAGGTTGCGAGTCGCAACCCAACCACGCAGCGTGTTCCCTAAATTCAATTCTGAATTGCTTTCCGCTGTACCAAGCGTTGCTCGTGGATCTCAGTAGCATAGTGTTCAGAGCGTCAGTCGTGAACTACTAAGCTCCGAGTTCCACCCCAGCTCAGGCTATCTCCACCTGATGAGTCCAAACCAGGACGAAACCGCGGTCGTGGTGTGCCAGTGTTTGGAAGAGCAACATTCAAATATTTACATTCCGGATACGGTCATCGCGATCGGAATGACCGAGGTTTACCACAGAATGAACCAAGGTCTCAATAGAGGTTGCGAGTCGCAACCCAACCATACAGCGTGTTCCATAAATTCAACTTTGAATTGTTTTCCGCTGTACCAAGGGTTGCTCGCGGATCTCAGTGGCATAGTGCTTATGGCGTCAACCATGAGCCAATATGCTCTGTTCCACCCCAGCTCAGGCTATCTCCACCTGATGAGTCCAAACCACGAAGTAACCGCGGTCGTGGAGTGTCAGTGTTGGGAGGAGCGACACCCAAATATTTCCGTCCAAGACAATGAGACCATAAATGCACGTGAAAAATGGTATCAGTTGGGAGGGTAAACTGGCTGTACAAACTCATTAACATCATGGCGGGAACAGCTTGTTCATGAAACCCTAAGTACTGGAGCTTATGCTCTGAACTGTCCCACATCCCACTCATATTCCTGACATATATGAGTCAATAATGAGAAATAGTACCTATTTTTCTTTGACCTATTCTATCTCCAAGCAGATTAGTTGCCTGGTTGTTATGCGCATCAGCTCCCACTAGGTCCGTAATGTGGTTACGCTCACACTCATTCTTCAGCTTTGCACAAATAGATAACCAATATCTTTTTCCCTACCCCGACACATAGCATATCCCGCCGAAGTGCCTAGTCGCTCAGAGTTGATCAAGCACATGACATCCCACTGTCTCGGTGCTTGCCCAGTGACTCTTCGTCATGATTTATTGGCCTCTTTAGTATACAGGATCCCCGCACCTTGACCTCCCATCACCACCACCACCACCACACACCTTGATCTCTAGGCTCATTCTATCTCTATGAATTATCCTGATGTTGTGCGCAACTTTGATGGTTAGCTCAACTAAATTCTCTTCTACACGGTTGTCTCCCACTTCTTTCTCATTGCTTCCACATATAGCACTGTTTACCAAAATGACTATCTGCTGAAGGTGTCAATCTGCACCCAAACTCTCCCAGTTTCGGTGCTCGCACACTTTTCGTAATGTTATCCTGGCGCCTCTTTTATGTGCACACGCGACCACTCATGTTCGGCCTAGAGAGACAATTTCCCCCACCGCTTTCATTCCTTGGTCAATTCTTACCTTATCCCAATAAGTTGCCTACCTGAGGTATGCGCATCAGCCAAGGCCAGCTCGGATTCGGTCTCATCAAGATGATAAGTGTCGTTTCTGCAGCATTTCTATATCCCATAGTTACCTCCTCGATGGATTCATGTCCTCTTCCTTCCCTACTGCCTCGACTTATAGTCACCCCGGATGTCCTCATCTAACCAGCTGGGGTGCAATACAAAACACATGCCCCTAAGGTGTCAGGATGATTCTGTGCATCACTGTGTCCTAGCAGTAACAGATCAAGTGATCATTCACTAAGAACCATACCAAATTCTATGTAACAGTCTACGTAGCACAATCATCAACTACGTTCAAACAGTGCGTAGTTATGCACCGCCATTTCGTAAGTCCTCTTCACTCCATTGTGCGTGGGTGCTCACTCCCTCTGCTGTTTGCGATGCCCCCCGCCGAGACTTACTAAAATGGTTTGAGACAACATACTTGGATATAATCCCTTCATCCGAACGTTATACACAGGGAAATCTCATTTGAATTGTTGGATGGATAACCTGTTGATATTCTAAACCATTCGGTCAGGAATACCGTGTCTTTCTTGGCTACAAACACAACCGTGCTCCAACCGTGCTAGTCATTTAATTTAGCTGGCATCAAATTAGCTTGTGCATTATGACCGACTACTCCCAAGTGATGAGTAACTCTTAAAGCGCATTCATTACAATATACTTTCCCGGGATACCTCATTCTTGCTATTCACTGGATTAGAAGAATGCGTTGTGAAGATCACCAAACTTTTTTTTCAAATATTTGGTATTGCATTGACGTATGTGAAATGTCCACCTCGTCAGTGGGTCACCATAATATTACTTTTTGAGGTTATCTCATAGGTGATACTCAGTGAACCGGAAAATTCAATTTTACTCGCTTTGTACCAACGTGTCAATCATTCTCGATGAATTTCAAAAACTGTAGAAGCTCTTCAACAAATCCATCCGTGTATGTAGCGCCGGTGTTTAATCTCCCGGGCGTGTTAACAATTGGCCAGCTTTCTGTGTGATTCAGGGGGATCGGGACGAGTGTGACGGTAGCAAAGGAAGTCTACTAAACGATGGTATATGTAAAAGCACTGAAAAACCGAAGAATATCTTATTATGTTGCATATACGAATATTGGCCAAGCATCGCGCATGCAATGTGAAACGAATGAGTTCTATCCCACCAATGCACACAGTAAAACATGTTCAAGAGATGAGGTCATGATACATAACTTCCACTGCAACCTTTAATTCTCAAATAAATTTGGAAACATGCTACTCCTTAACACAATTGGTTTACAAATATGTATTAGGATCTTTTCCATGAGCTTGTAAAGGACACAATGATGAATTTTTCAAACCACTTGATCATGCAACACTGAGGCATGTCCCCCCCTTTCCATCGGAACAAAACATTCCATCCCATTTTCATGTGCCATATTCCCTCCCAGCTGCTGGTCGTAGCTGAACAGCTTCCGATTCTGTCGATCAACCTACGATCACTGTTCTGCACATGATTGCACCACCGCGATTACGCCGATGCAGACGCACCTCACATTGCCAAGAAAAAACCATCTGTTAATCTGTCACTTACAGTAAAACCTTCATGAGATGATCACTCAAGGGACTGGATCAAAATGGTCCCCACATACAGAGGTCTGATGAACACTCAAGCAATGAAAAATAAACTGATCAACTTAGAGAGAGATCGTCAGGATATAGAAGTGGTCAACTTCGGAGGCTTAACTGTAATTGCAGAACGATTGAAATAACGGGGTTTCTGGTAAACAGTAAAGGTAAATAAGTACGTAGGATGTTGTGCAGAGTTGACGGGAAGTTAACAGAACAAATAACGGAGGAAGTGAGCAAAGCACAAATGCGATTGTGAACGGGGAAAATGGTCTGAGTTAAAATGTGTATTCTTACGCGATCAGAGGAGAAGGGCAGATGAAACGAGAGAAGATCGAGAGGCTTCTCAAGATTCACGCAATCATCCGAGGAAGGAGCATATATCCGGTGAGCGCGCCCAGAAGAATTACCCGACAAACACAGGTGACAAGCCGATAGAATGGGTAAAAGTTGTCGCGCCGCGTCGGAACGCTGAAGGTAGGCAGTCAACTCGACTTCTTTGGATGATAAGGAACGGGAGAGGTTGTCGATTTCTTTCACTGCGAACAGAGGAGCAATGCTTTACGATTACAACACGAGATAAAAGCGATACAGAATGCATCAGTTTGTATCCCAGTCGGATATGCGAACTGAAACGTCAAGGATAGGAAGCCATAATGTTGAGAAAGGTTGATGAGGGGGCTGTTAAAATACCATGTCGCAACCACTTATGGATATTACCACAAGGGAGCTAAGGGGAGAGACTTCGGATGTGAACGACAAACGCGAACGGAATACACCGAAGTCGCCACATCCGCGTTAGGGATTTAAGTTCCGGAAATTAGCGTCATAGTCCATAGTTAAGATGGCTTCACATTCGCCAGCCAGACTACATGCTGCCAATGACACACTGATCGTAACTTTCGGCGAGAAGCTGCTAACGCTCAATCTAGGCCTCCGACGAACCTTCCGCTGGGTATGCATAGTAGCACCAGTACCGTTCACTATCATAAACACTTTTGATCTTACCGTTGAAACTAAAAGGCAAAAGCTAATCGACTCTCGGATACAGCTAAGCGTTATCGGGATTAGCGCCAACGTGGCCACGATCACCCCCGATTTCGTTGACAAATCATCCTTTCCCACCCGAGCGCCTCAGAAAATTATGAGCACAATGGTGCTTTGCGCGCTGACGCACGAGACATGTAAATTAGACTGCATATTTCTCATGAGTAGATGGAAACCAGTTCGAATGGTTCTCATTTACCTAATCCAACATGTAATAGTGTGCGATGTGATACACTGTTCAGCGCTCAGTTATCGTGAATCAGTTGACTGTTAAATTTAGATCACAGACAATTCGGTAAAAGCAAATAAATACCTATGGCCGAGAGCAGTAACTATTAAAGGTGCTAAGAATCCTTCGGTTAGTGATCACCTGTGTGCAAATGAAAGGGTGAAACACCTGTCCGATTGAACGTAACGCGCAAATGCATTCGAGGAAGCACACAACGCGAGATTTATGAAGGGCACCTATTCATGTATCACGTCGAGTCTCATGCCCCAAAATGTGCCAGAACATAAAAAGTCAAGGCAACACGGCGGCCAACTTAACATTCATAAGGTGCAAATACGCATGACAGCAGAGTACGAGTCCAGAGACAACACAACCGGCTACCTAGTAACTGGTGTCCGAATTAGACCAGAAGTGTCAAATTGTGTTTGCATAAGAGGGATGGTGAGTGTGAATCAGTTATGGAGTAGGGAACTGCACACTGCTGTCTAACCCCGAAAGAACGAAACGGTCATCTGATGTATTTCTCGGCTTTCAGGTAAAATGATGACGACTGAACCACTCAGCATGTTCCATAAATTTAATTTTAAATTGCTTTCCGCTGTACCAAGCGTTGCTCGCGGAACTCAGTAGCATAGTGTTCAGGGCGTAAGCCATGAACCACTAGGCTCTGAGTTCCACCTCAGCTCAGGCTATCTCCACTTGATGAGTCCAAACCAGGAGGAAACCGCGGTCGTGGTGTGCCCAAGTATTTCCACCCCGAAGGAAAATTACGTGAAATGACAAAATCAACAAAATCGCAGCTATACTCAGACAGATAGCCACCGCACATCCAGGAAAGCGCTACACGGTAATTACTCTTGATTGAGACTCGTCAGTAGGGAGCACCCGCCAAACCCTGTCGTATTCGAATCCACGATGCTACTCTTAGGAGACAGCGATTTATGCCACTCAGCTATGGATGACGGCAGTGGACCGCCATGATTGATATCTAACTGCGATGTTGTGCTGCTCATCCTCCATTGTCATGGATGTTGAGGACGTGCAGAGGACAGACCTGGCCTCCAGAGTAACGACTTCCTTTGCAAGCCACCACCAATCGAGGTGGCACGTAATCTGTTAAGGTGATTCCTGATTATTAGCGAGTAGCGCGGGGGTTTATTGGGTGTTGTGAAGGTTCTTCATAGCTAGGCTCAGGCAGACAGTCACCGCACATCCAGGAAAGTGTTAGGCGGCTGTTTCATTCTATTGGGACATGTCAGCAAAGCGCAACCGCTGAAGCCTACTACGCACAAATAATCAGTAATCGCCTTAGCAGATTACATGCTACCTCGATTGGTGACGGCGTGCAAAGAAAGTCGTTGCTCTGGGGGCCAGCCCTGTTCTCTGCACGTTCACATGCATAACAGTGAAGGATGAGCAACGCTATATCGCGGTTAGATATTAGTCATGGCGGTCCACTGTCGTCACCAATAGCTCAGTGGCATAAATCGCAGGTTTGTAAGAGTAAAGTGGTTGGTTCGAATCCGGCAGGATTCGGTGGGTGTGCGCTACTGACGAGTTCCTATAGAAAAAACGGCCATCTAGCACTTTCCTGGGTGAGCGATGGCTGTCTGTTTGAATCTAGCTGTGAATAATTTCACAAAAGCCCAATAAATCGCATTTCTGCTAAGTAGTAGACGTCTTGTGGGCAGTGATGAAAAAATTTAGTCAAACGGGAAACTGTAACAGCGTGACGCAATGAAGAGAAGCAATAGACACCGAATAGCAATTCTGGGTAGTACATTCATGCAGGATGAAGACGGTGCTGGTCGACAGCACAACATCGAGCTGGGGCATCTTGATACCGGCAGCCTGGTGGAAAAGAGCCCCGTCGCGGCAAATTTCGGAAAACGGATATAGAGGACTGAAAAATCGGGATGGTTATACTACGTAACAGTAGAGACCAAAGAAGATGCACAAAAGCAGAATGACAAGGCAACCAACAACCATTGTAGCTAAGTCACAGGGCAACTGAAACAAACCGCTCGTGTCAAAAAGCAAAGCTGCTATAGCATGATGCTTGGGTTCCCCCCGCCGCCACAGTATTGAACTATCTTCCTAGTCGATCATGTGAGCGAACTGAGAACCACACATCCCTAAGACTCATTGTAAGGATATGATAATGAACCCTAATACCTAATAAACGAGAAAGGAAACTCAATTACAAAGAGAAGGCATGCATGCCAACAAACGGAGGTGCGATAAGTGAAAACGCGGGCGCTTGTGGCTGCATTGAAAGTGAGACCAGCGCCCTACATCCAACGTGACACAAAGGCCATGGTTGCTCATCGTATATGCGGAGGATGTCAGTCGGTAGCCAAGTGGTTTGCGCGTCTGGTTGGCAATCGTAAGATCCCCAGTTCGAATCCGCGTAGAGATGGGCGCCCTCGCGGTATAATCAACCCACGCAAGCAAGCTTGGTGGTGGTCGAGCGGCAGCGAAGCGCCGTTACGGCGTACAGTTGACACATTATTTTTTATATGCAACCAGCAATAAGTTGGTAACGGAAAGCGAATGGACAAGATCGTTGGCTACCGGTTTCTGTGTGGACTGGCATTTGAACACTAATAAGGTGTAAGAACCAGCTGTGTGTCAACAGTCTTCGTATTCAATTGGACATCTAATGTACTCTTCGTCTGCTGACTGGCATGTTTGATATCTTGCGACCCGACAATCCTACACAACCTTTCCAATACGACAGATGTCTGGATTCGTATCGATCTGCAAACGCACCTGTCTTTCAATGATGCTGATGGTGATGCATTTTCTTCTAGCTCTGAAATCGCCCGTAAGATTGGCGTCCACTCCCTTTGCAAAATGGCCACAGGTCTACTTTCGAAGATCACGAACCGGTCTGAAAGGTGGCTTAGGTCTGAAATGGGTTTCATTGGGCTCGCGTCTCAGGCAATTCAGGAAAATGTGCTTGTTGATCGGACACGATCCAACAGAACGCCAGTCTAAGCACTGCCAACGGGCTGATAGTGGCTTATCTTGAGGAAGTTTCTTACCACCAGTGGCTGTAAACTACCTCCTGGAAATCTGCTGAATTGCGAAAGCATTGGGATGCGTCGTTGCATCCTCGACCATAGTTGTATGGTGCCTTAAAATTATGATTCTATGGGCCGTTGCAATGATAGTTTGTAGTGTGACGTACAGGTCTCACTCCAAAAGCCCGACCATTCTGGTTCGGATCTCAACATTCGTTGGAGATTGCAGGTTGCACATAATATCAGACATTCTAACGGATCTGCAGCTTGAATTTCTGACACTGACGTTTCAAAGTTGTTGCGTGGGCAACGATACCGTCTCTGTTCTTAATGTTCAAATTCAAGCAGTTGTACCGATTGTTGAAAAGCGGTGCTTAATCGCCGAACATTTGTGGGTCGGAAAATTGTTTCATCGAAGCTGAAATCTTGAGCAGTCTTTGGCAAAATGTAATTGATGTATCTGTCGTGCTCCACAGCTCCGAGTTTACGCAACAGTTGGCGTACTTGTGACGCATCATCAAAACTTGCCAGCCTTATGCTAAAAATAACTACATAACGTCTGAACCATGCAACGCAAACCAACCCTGAAGCTGGATCAAAAAGGAACTCATTGACTGTTGATAATTGCATCAACTGAAGGCTTCTGAACATTTTGGGCGGCCGTAGACCGCAGCGATGGTTCGAGTGAGAGCCTTGACCATTCGCAGCTGTTGTAGCAAAATAGCATTTAATTCTGGTGCCGAGATAGACATCTTGAGTAATTTTGACTCCGTCGCTAAAATCCGTTGTTTCTGCTGACAGTACGGATAACCGATGAAGTTACTCGAGCCACGGTCCAGCCACTTCCCAAATGAGAAGACAAAGGGCCTCCGGCGAAACATGTATGGAGCAGACGGAACACAGCATGTACAGTGAGATTATGATCTCAAAATAAATAGTTCATGAGAGAATGACCTAATTGAAAGTTCTTGAATTCTACCAACTAATAGATGCGAGAAAAACACGCCTAATGGCTGTTCAAGTAGTGCGTTCACTGGAGGGATTCGAGGTAGGTCATTCTCATTTGTGAACTCCAAGTTAAAATGCTCTCATTGGTTAGCCAATCAGCTTCAGGGTGAGAGTGACCAATCTTCTCCGGACTGCTATGAACGAGCCCCATTGACAGTTCGGTGCTCAAGGAAATGCTTTCCTGCTTCCAGAGCGCCCTGAGTAGTATGTTGTCGCCCAAAAGTCGTTATGCAGAAGTTGGTTACGGGCTACCAAAAGTTGGTGACACGTTAATCACCACGCTGCTTTGTGAGTCAACTCCTTTCCTAGGCCTGGGCAACTGCGAAGTTCCAGGTGTACACAACACATGGATAAATGAGTCCATGAAATCCTGCCCTCTGTGGATGCCGGGGCTCTAACTGCGCTCGGTGGGAAGACAGAGTTGCTTGAATCCGGCAGAACATCTTCACCTGAAGTTATAAAGCAACCATCCCAAATGAAAATGCTCCCATCTGGGCGTACAAAGCTTGACTTCTCTTTGATGATCGATGAGAGGAGGAAGTTGTTGTGTAACGGTCCAGTCTCTTGATAGTTGGTTGTAAGCCATGGATTCGAAGCACACAGCGTCATGTGCAGACATTAAAAACCGATGGGTCAATAAAAAATATTGCGGGCACTAAGCTCAGGTCAGACGATAATGCCGCAAGAAGGAACCTTAAAACGCATAAAGGAATTGATCACAGCTGATGAGTGATCCAAGCCCGCAATTCGCGCAGCGTGAAGGTGAAAACCAAACTAAACCACCAACATAAAGAAATAAAAATCTGGGGGTTTGTATACAAGCCACAGTTAACACTATTCCACGTTGTCACTGCAATAGCAAAGCTCATCAGAGCAAAAGTTGGATCAACTGCGTCGAGTGAACAAGGGAAGCAAGATGTATCGGTTGACTTCGTCATGTTATTCGCGCCTTTGATAACGGCAAATCTAAGCGTAGATTTGCCAACATTGTGTTTGGCAGAAAACACGAAAAGAACTAAGAACCATTTGATAGAAAAATTAAAGCCGGTAGGTGAGCACCGTCGGCCGAAAAGTGGACTCCGAAATAGACGACACGAGCTATTCGGAACATAGAACAAACGATCCCATGTTTTTAAACCCCAGCCCATGTATTCGATAAATCCGATGTCCTTTTGTTCATCCACTTTACTATGTATGCTTTCGCCTACTCACTCAATTCTAATAAACTTCTTTCCAGTCAGAATCAGTATAATGATGTGAAAGTAGGTAATTTGGATCGCCACAAACCGATAAGTATTTGATTAAATGGAAATGGGCAGATCAAGCTGTCTGTGCTTGGTAGCCAGAACCTAGAAGCTGACGAGGTCCCGCATGTGTGCTGTTACAATGAAGCGAAATGATAATAAAACGGGGGGGGCTAATGCATCTATACTTCACCCTATTACAGAATAACCACTAGTACTAGTCCATTGGTGGGGCCTTTAAATCAGCCGTTGCCTTTTCCTCCGAACATCATTTTTTCCATTACTGACTGCAGATATAGCAGTTTTGCAAGAATAAGCTGCCAGATATTTTGTTAAATCAACTCCCAAGGTCACTGAGGCTAATCTACTTAATCAACCTTTTGAACGCTGAGATGTCGCGCACGACCCACTTTGGACGCAAAATTTTACCTCGACTGAAACGAATTATGAAGAAAGCTTTTCAGGAAACCTTTTTCTTTTTGGATGGATGAAAATACCGAAGATTTAGTTTAGCATGATTGGATCGTTGCTCGATCGAGTTAAGACAGTGTGCTTTGCTCATATTTCCGCACATTTGTAAATTTAGCATTTCTGAAGGTACCCGTTTGGCACATTTACAGTTGACAATGTAAATGTGCTGAAAATGCACGCATTTGGGTACATAAAGCTTATACTGACTGACTGACTTGGCTTGAGTTGGTTCACCCAACCAGGCAGGTGGATCAGACCCGAGAGTAAAACTTCTGCAGATAATGTTGAGCGTGGGAAATATTACCGGGGGTGGGTAGACAGATTAGTCAAAGCAGAATGCATGGTGTAACGAAGTAGTTGAACATATAGCAGGAAAAAGACTGCTTAAACCAATAGCAGCATTTCGTGGGATCATAAACAAATTACAAAACAGAGGTCGTCAACCTGGAACTTGGAACTATATTGCTGGGCTTTGGACGATTCGGCAGATAAGCATGGGAGCACTACTCCAGCTAAGTGATATTGGTAGGCCTGTCGGTCGTTGAATGCGTCACACTTTAGATATTGAGTAGGCGAAGAGAAAGACATGGATCATTGGGCTAAAGCTGATCCAGAGCTAAGACGCGCTATCATCGTTAGATGGGGATTTGAAACAAAATCGGTGGTTAACGCATGCTTCCGACCGGATAAAGACGTTTAAGAGGATTTAGCTGAGAAATAGGAACTGAAGCAACAATGAATTCCTATGCATGCCAGTGGAGAAGAGATGCGGAATAATACCACAACATTCAAGTCAGCAAAAATGGTAGAAAGTAGAGCTGCATCAGTAAACGATGATCTAACAATGTTGGCCGCAAGTTGATCAAACCAAATGGGAACATGTTTCATCTGAGGGACAAGCCAGCCCATAACGCGATACCCGATCCCGGCCACTTTGTGCCTATCAAGGATCGGCACCAGTGTAAGCGGATGAAACCGACGGATAAGTAAGTAAATATGGGATGAAATGAAACCAAGAGCGCATATGAAACATTACCGATCGTTTCATTCGTCAAGCGAGTATGTTCCGTTTGTCCGCGGAAGCCGCGTAGTTTGTGCAGAAGCACCTCCTGCTCATGCGTCAGCTCGGAACCGGATGCGGGCGTCTGAGACAACACATACACGCAAGAGAATGGCAAGACAGAAAACGATGCATTACCAACAGCGGAAAAAAGCACGGGAATGACTCAAGGTGGCTGCAATGTTGTCAAAAACAAGGTGGGGAAAGTGCCAAGTCGTGGAAAATGTAGGAAGAAAGTAGCCACCGATGTAGAGAAAAACTCACAGGTGAGATCAAAAGTGCCCAGCAGTTCGTGGAATAGATGCTATGAGGACTCCACATCTGACTGCAAACAAGCTCCAAATGAGCTAACCCATGCGCGAATCCGTTTCGGGCATCAAGTAAAATCGTATTGCCAAAGTGCTGCAGAGAAGCGGCTGTCTAATAGCTTACGAGCGATGAACTAAGTAACAGTTTTTAGTGTGAAGTTGAGTTACTAGGTAACAGAGAGCAAACCGTGGGAAAATCCTGAGTGAACCCCGGGCAATGCTGGTCTTCAGCAAAGCAAATATTCCGAGTTGATTAACAAGAAACAAAAATAGAAATTAGTGCATTAATAAAAAATCTTTTGCGTAAACTCTCGTCAGACTCAAATGTTTACGTAGTACTGATAAGGTGTGGCAAACGTCAAGTTGAGCTGGAGATTGATTTCCAAGTTTAGTTAAAGATGGCGTGCGAAACGAACGAAAAGAGTAGTAAAACAAAAAACCTCAGTAATCTGAAGTAAACAACCCAGGTAACGACCAGACAACTGAGTACAGTGTCTGTTGGCTACGGTAGTAGTATGAATCGCTTTTGGACACACAATGCAGGCTTCACATGGTGGATGTAAATAGGCCTAGGCAATGGAAAAGAGTTGATTGAGGATGCCTTTCGATAAGCGCTAGGGCAATGAGTAACCGACTTTGAAGTCATTCTCAGATGCTGTATGGTCACAATCAGGGAGGTCCGATATAACTGAGTTGTTTGAAAACCCCATTTCGCCTTTGTGAAATCACGTTGGGATGCGCTCACAAATCCTCTGAGATAGGTGCCTCGTAGTGCGACCCAGGTATCGTGTACCACATGAGCACGAGTAATCATAAACGAGCATTGAACGAGTCAGTGAGGACAGTATATTTTCAACCGTCTTGTAGGCAATGGTTTGGTGCGATTGCCAGCTATCAAGCAAGTCGCGAAATAAGTTTTCTCAACTGAATCTTCCAGGCGTCGAGATGGCATATCAGCAGCAGAATTGCCCCTAACTAGTGGGTGCATGAACAGCTACTTTTACTAACAATGCTCTTAGCTGACCTTCGTTTGGGTTCCTTCAAGTGCTTCGCGATAAATTTGTTGTGATAACCATGTGCTCTCAGGGCATCACAGATTCTCTGCACTGGTTCATTTAGCTTAGTCAGGGTGCTAATACTGTGCGCCCTGAAGGCGAGAGAACTGAGTAAACTCCTCTTATGTTGTAAATCTATTGCACTGTGCACGTTAGTGTACTAACCAGTCCATGTGTGCTTCCTGTGTACCTCTCTACTAAAAGAACCATTCGAGTTACGCATAACTTGTGCATCTAGAAAGAGAAATCAATTTCCGAACTCGTGTTATTTAAAGCTTTCAACAACGGTACCACATGATTATTGGACTCGCAAAGTACGGAGGTGTTAAGTTATTGTATGTACATTTCAGTCCCACCAATGCGCGTTCTAAGTGAACTACGTTCGAAATTCGCAATAAAGATATCAACCAAAGGAGATCTAGGGGTCACTCCATTAATCAAGGATACATTTCACCATTGGATGTGAACTTAACATGCAACCTGCAGCGAAATAGTACCTCCTTTAGCAAGTGTTCCGGAAAAGTTGAGTACATTGGCAGTTGCAGTTGCACACGTAATCCACAGATGCGAGCAGCGGAATGTATTCAAACAACGGCTGACCACCAAATGATCATCCTTTTGTGGGCAAGGTTAAATCTGGCTATCAGCTCAATAAATTCAAAAGTATCTCTTACGCAGAAAGTGTAAACCATATTCCGTAACGGTTGCAGCTTCTCCACCATCCATTGGACCAAAAAATGCTGGGGAGTGCTCGCCATATTCAAGACTGGAAGCAATGGGGCACCTTTCTTGTGAACTTCAGGTAGACAATATAATCTATGAAAGTATCCACCTGAATGGTTCCGATTTTCGATTTCCGTCGGCGTTACACAGGGGCAGTCAAATGTCGTCTGCTGTCGGCAGTAGAGGCGATCGCAATTCGGCTCTATAACCCGGACACATGTGCACAGTAATAAGATTTGCCTGCATCCTTCATCTGAGGTAGCCGGTTAGCTGTTCTTCTCACTCAGTAATTGATCAGACCCCTCGCACCGTCAAGCAATATACCATTTAGTTATTTATTTAGTTATGCCGTCATGTTATGAGTATCAGGATTTATGGCATTTCACATATATAATCTACCATAGTTAATAGTGCTATGCTGGAACACTTGCCTGGCTCAGAGAATATTCATGCTTTGTATAACCGTAATTCTTTACAGGAGTAAATTTGCTTCTTTGGAACAATGCGATTATTGGATGATATGGCTTCAACGTATTCGTAGCAACTATTCACTAGGCTACATTTTAGGTCTTCAACGTTCCAAGATGAGGTTGAAACAGATCTCCAGTCTGCACCATTAGGCTTTCAAACATCAGCTTTATAGCCGCCTGATCTATTTTCTTACAGGGATAGAAAAGTTGGGGCCTAAAGATAACACGTTCATTTCAGTTTACAGGGGCTTCAGCGATTCGTCAGCCGAAACCCCATTTTTGTGTAAACAGACGGTTGTGACCACTCTCGCCTTGCCCTGGTGAAGTGAATGATTATCATCAGTAAACAAAACGATTTTACGCTTTGTCTACCTCTACTGTGTAACACCGATGCCACAGATTGTTTGTACACAGCTGGTGAAAAGATATGAAATATCTGAATTCAGGTTATTCTGTTGAAATGTTGTCTTTTTCTTGCTATTTTGAAGTTTACGAAAGGAAAGTCCTGTATGAGACAACACTGGCAACTAGGTCAAAAACGTGAAACACATACCGTTTCGTGTCATCCGGGAAGGTCAATTGCGGGATCTGGTTAGTAACCGTACTAAGCAAGTTCTTTCGTTCTCTTATGCCCATTTTCAGCTTACCTAGCTCCACATTTTTCGCCAAAAGCCGTCACATGTCTTCAAGCAAGCCTAACACATCAGGCAACTGTTGAGAAATAAACTTCTCCAGCTTCACACGGATTGCGCATACCTAATTGAGTGCACGTCACTTCAACGTTTTTGCGTTTGGATAGAGACCAGATCGTCGTATTCCCCTCCAAATGGGCTTCCGATAGCGGCTTAACTGCACACATTTATGGGGGAATTCCGATTGCACCCTCCAGCCAAGTACTGAACTTCGGATAGTCATACAAACGCTCGATCGATCCACTTCGGCCTTCAGGAAAGGTGAGGTAGGCTTCAGCTCCGAATGGAGCGATGGCGACCAGTCATAAATAAGGCAAAACCGACCCTGAGTTATAATTATGTGATCAAAAATTCCGACTAAATGAACAAAGGAATTATTATCAGGAAAATGACAGGAAATTACTTTTGCAAAAAAAGAACCAAGCTGCGGTGCCAAAACAGCAGGCCTACATGAACGCCTGATGAGCGTCACCGACCCAGAAAAAACACCAAAACTTTCGGATTGTCTCAGCATGCGACTCTGATATCAGTTGGATGAATCAAGGAATGTATAAACAACAAAATGGAATCTGCTGAATACCATAAAAATGGGAGTGTTCCAGTTGATCGCGACACACGCGACCACAATTCCTGTAGTGAGTTTGTGTGCTTATGACGTATGCAACTGACATGTTGACGGGATGAAGATGAGGCAGAAACACAGAGCACGGAGTACTCGTTCGCCTGGAGCACAGAGCCGCAAGCAATAAAGTCGGTGCACAAGAGTGGTGCACATGACCGGATAGCACTGATCCCTAGTCAGCGGAAACGTGACAATGAGAGTACTGCAATCCAAGAGTTTGTCGAGGGAAAATGATAAAATGTAATCACGATGACTTGGCTACTTTCTAGTAAAATGAGACGTGTAAAGCCAGATAGCTGATAATTTGAGGAAGAATTTGGGGAGACAAGAGTAAGAGAAAAAGTGTATTGAGTAGCCCACCAAACCGCTAGTCTGAAACAATCGGTGAACACAGCAAACACTGTTGGCTTCATTCACTGAGGAAAATGAAGGTATTATATCACGTCAAAAGGAAAAGCACACACGAAGAAATCGGATCGCAATGAGACGGAGGATACCACAGTATCCCGCAGAATCGACAGAAAGAGTGGGGCCCATGCATTTCAGCAGGTATTGCAAAGGGACGCTACACGACGAAGCAGCCCGAGGGAGCAAGTGATGCTCGCAGTGTTCGGCAGCGACTAGCACAAGTCAGAGGGAAAAGCTAAATGCGTTGGGTACCGACGTGATGACGGTGCTTGTTTAAAGGTCGCAAGCACAGTAACTGTATTACTCCGCTGAGTGGTTCAGATTTCGCCGATTGCCTGCACCATCTTACTCGCTTGGGAAAGTGGCTCGCCCCTTAGATCAGCGGGCATAAAGAGGCTAGTTACGTTCGACCACCGGTACCTTCGAAATTTAGCTCATGTCTGGTGGGAACATCGCGTGAGCAACGAGCGTGTTCAACGCCTTGTTTACGGCACATGAAAAGGAAATGAACCACTCAGCACCGTTATTTCACGCACCAAGCTTCGATGGCTCGGCCACGTGTTACGCACGCCAGCCCACCGACTCCCGCGACGTGCGTTGCTTACGCGCCGGGGGTGCGGATGGAAGAAGAGGAGGGGTGGCCAAGCGACGACTTGGTCTAGAGAAATGAAAGCCGTCACTTCGGAGCTGGCCTCAGTTGGAGCGTCTCGGCTCCCTGGTTGGGGTTTGGAAAACGATGAACACGTTTGGCTGGATACACTTGCTGATATGGCTAGGAGCCCACCACAGTGGCATTCGTGCTGTGAGTTTCTTTGTCCCACCCCATCCCTCTTAGCCTCCCCGTCCAACAACGATCTCATTATTTAGCATTTTATAACTTCAAAATAATTTTTTTGCTGCATAGTAGCCGGCACGTAGCTTACTGGAACGATGCCCATCCCTTACCGGTAGCTCAGCTGGCTTGCACTTGTTGCATTTTATTCCCTTTTTTGTTTTGGTATTGCGGCACAGTAGCTGAGATGTTTTCACCTCTAGCTAAGGTGTATAGTGTGTGTGACTTTACATCTGACAGAATAGGATGTCGTGATTCGAGGCGGCACTCTCTTTATCCTCTGTCTATCGATGTCATACTCTGACACTTTCGTCCCCACCCACGATTTTACCCGAAGCCACAGTGGAGCTTCCATCACAGGATATGCGCCACGATAACTGAGGTCGTGCTGATGGACCCGTGGTATAAGTCTAGCTGCACCGCAGGTTGATACGCGTAAAGTGCATTTGACAAGCTCCAATCTTCCAGCGTTGTCGTCACATCTCCGTTGGTTTGCATAGTATGTGTCGGGAGATGACAGCGAAGAAACTACTGGTGATTGCACGGGCTTGAAAAATGCTGATATCATCTCTCAACTGGTGGTTTCTACCAACCCCGGTAAACCTAAGGTAAATATCAACTATATATTCGAGTGCGCATTGAAGCCAATCACGATCAACTGTGCTTTCTAACATTATAATTTTCTACAGTATTACCTTCAGCATAAAGCAATCCATTCCTCGGTATTTCTCGGCCTCAAACATAATTAGACGCTGTAATACGGGAGACACTAGAGCTGGGGATACGAAAAGCACCAGTGTTAAGGTACTCATACTAACGAGCCCCAAATCCGTAATCCTATTGCTTAGAGACGGCCCTGAAACTTTGGATGCTTGAATGGATACACCGCAATCGAAAATCACACGTGGACTCCGACTACATGGAAAACGGTATTTCACGCTGATCTGCATAAGTGAAACGTAATATGAGGGCTTCGGCCGACGAGCAAGCGTTCCAAGCCACGCACTGCTCACCAAATGAACGCGATAACCAAACAAATGGAAATGGGATAGTGCAATGATAAATATAGGCTTGACAAGATGCTAGAGAGAAGTTGAAGAGGTGTGTGTGAACCTCCAGAATCAAGTGACACGAAAAATTGGATTGTTCGTAGGATGAGCACTTAAGAAGCAGCTCATACTTTTAGCAAGCGCGTAGAATGACTCAAAAGCGGTATAGGGTATGAATGGACGAATAGGCATGGAACACAGTGTATGAATGGTTTCACCACGCTCACTAGCTGACTAATTCAGCACTCGATTAATAGTACGAGTTCCTGAATTAGTCTGCAGTTCTATCCACATCCAAAATCCAGTACAGACATGAAGACGCAATACAGTGAAATGGTAATCATTATCAGCTCGTACCTTATTCATAAACACATGTAGATTGGGAAAGTGAACCCTTGTTGACAGTACGCGAAGGAAGTAAGCGCAAAGCAAGCGCAACGGAATGCATGAATTTCGCGAGTGGATGACAAGTGAGGTATGGATAACGGCGGCTTTGTACTCGCGTCGATGGAAGTGTACATACCAGGCAAAGAAAGGGCGGTCACTAGGCCAAAGCCCGTTTTGCCGTGGAACCATTCATTGAAACTAACACTATCGTGCGGTGTGAGCACACCATCCTCTGCAGCGGGCACACGACGCGGCAGCATCGAATAGGTAGGCAGTTAGGTGGCCCGCTAACATTTGTCAATCGCAGCCAAGTTTGATACAGTAGGTGAAAACAGATGACAAGTGTGCCATAAATATCCAATTGAAATGTGAACTTAAGACCCCAACCTGAACAACATCGACCGATCAACGGACCGGACGGACCGTGTGTAGTGTGGGATGAACTGAAGTAGTGGTGAAAATGAGAGCCAATAAACTCCGGGACACACCTGAGCTAAGCCAGTCGAGCCGCTAACGGCGCAGCTAGTGTGCAGGGACCTAAGCCAAGCTAATCGCTCTTCCTTGGCTTGAATCTGCTGAGCCTGTCGCATCAGTTGCTGACGCTGACGTTCAGCAACAGAACGAAGTTCACTGACCGTCATCCTTGAACTTGAGTCGGTAGTAGAAGGAGCCTGAGTTCCACTGCTGCAACGAGTGTGGTGCATATCACGTGGTTCGTTGGAAGCGGCAACGACCCCGCCGGAGGTAGTGGAGTTTTCGGGTGCAAGCACAACAGTGGCCTGAGAAACAGTGAGGTCGCGGAGATTGTGGTAGGTAGTGATTGTGGGGCTTCCTAGGGCAGTTGTGTCAGTGGGGGAATAATCCGACAGAGCACACGGACGGCGAGGACCGACAGACACAGATAAATCATTGTTGTCTGCAGAGTTCTGTAAAAAAAACAGAAATGAATTACAATAAGAAAAAATGTTGTGTCACGGGCTTGTAAAGAGTTAGTGAGGAAAAGCAACTTTACGCAACAATCAACAAAAACCCGTCTGTGCAACCAATGAACGAGGGTTGGTAAAGAGCGGTCGGATAGAAATAATATGGGTTAATAAGAGTTGGTAAGGAGACTAGATAGATAGAAATGTTCCGAAAACAGAAAGTTACCATCATAAATAAAGATGGAAACAACCTAATTCTGAAAAACCGCGCGAACTCGCCCACATCAAAGAATCGAACTAAAAGTGATATTGGTGGTTAATATGGTATAAACGGTAGTAAATTCCGAGTCGACAGTTCAAAGCAGAACAGTTTGTGTATACTCGAGAAGAAATGTCACGACAAAAAACAAGCATAGAGTAGAGTAATGGATGACAGCCGCAGTGTGGATCTAATCAGTCAGTTGATCATTCGTGGACGACTCGATGAGGCCGGATGTGGTGCGTCAATATGTACGAAGACGGCTTCAATGCAACTAGAAGACATCGTGCGACCGGATCAAAACCGATCGATGAGAATGCGAACACTAGATACAGACAACAAAAGGAGATAAGTCTAGGCTGGCGTCTAGTGAAG